TTTCCAAAAGTCGATAATCTACTTCCCCGAAAAATCGATAATCTACTTTCCTGAAAAGTAGATAATCTACTTTTCGGGAAAGTAGATAACCAACTTTCCCGGAAAGTAGATATATTTCCCATTTTCTATGATACAAATTTCCCGTTTTCTATGATAATCTACTTAGGAAAATTAGGTAATATTTCCCCAAAAAGTCGATAATCTACTTCCCCGAAAAATCGATAATCTACTTTCCTGAAAAGTAGATAATCTACTCTTCGGGAAAGTAGATAACCAACTTTCCCGGAAAGTAGATATTTCCCATTTTCCATGATAAAAATTTCCCGTTTTCTATGATAAGTAGATAACCAAGTTTCCCGGAAAGTAGATATTTCCCATTTTCCATTATAAAAAAATTCCCGTTTTCTCTAATAAAATTTGTTTGCTATGGCAATCTAATTTTCGAAAAACTATGTAATATACTGTAGGGGTGTCGAGATAATAATGTTGTCTAGCACTCAGGATGGAAGGAAACTCTAATGTGGTTTTCTTGTATAATATATAAGTTATATGATAGACAGTCTGGTGCTGGAGGTGCCGTGTGGTGAGGAGCTGGTCAGTAGAGACGTTCGGTGAGTAGCGTGTTGAAGGAGGTAGATGTGCAGGAGCTTCGTTAGAGAAGATGTTGCCTGTTGCTGGCCTCCTGGTTGAATGAATGCTGGACAGCTAGGAGCTTGCTGGGAGGAGGTGTTGCGTGTTCAGGAAGATGGGCCAGAATGAGAGTTGGTTGGTGAGGAAGCTCAGAGAAGGACAGCTGGTGGGTTGCCATGCTCGCTGGCAGGAGCGAGGACCGCCAGGCAGGCGAGGAGAAGCGAAGGCAGCCAGGCAGCGGCGGAGGAGGAGGTGTTGCTTGTTCAAGAAGAATGGTCAGAATGAATCTCAATGGAGAGACAGAGCTTATATACCCAGCAGCAGCCGCCAGTCCTCTATGATTCATGTTGGGAAAACCCGAGAAGTCGCCGGTGACTAGTTCCGTTGCTAAGATACGGTAACATCTGGTTGGTTGCTAGGGAGGCGGTAGCAGGTGGTGGCAGCTGCGCAGTTTGTAGGGGAGACGTCCACTTCAATACTCCCCCTTCCCTCCAGGCGGTGTAGGAGACTTGTTGTCGGTAGAGTTGCTTAGCACATGTGAGGCAGACCGGGCGGTGCATGCCTCATGTGAGACAACGGCGATGGCGTGATGAGCCGATCGCTGAAATACAACTGTCTAGATACACACTATCTGTGGGAGAAAAGAGAAAAAGGGTGTGTGGAGGCGATGAATGTTGTGCTTCCCTCACGACAGGTACAGGGAGGTCAGATGCGCCTGCTGGGGTGTGTGTGGGCCTGGGTCAGGAGCAGGGGCTGTGTCAGCAGAAGCGGATTAGGGCTCGTGACAGCAGCTGGGTCCACGACAGCAGCAGGGTGCAGGACATTAGCAGGGAGTACCTGAGGGAGAAAAGAGGGTGTGTGTGTAATGGTCATGATAAGAGCTAACCTGAAAACCTTAAGGATTCATATTACGCTCAAACGTCCACAAAACCTTCTGAGTCTCCCAGTGGAAACGTTCCCCGTTTTCTCTGTTTCCCCCGCCTTTGTCTATGGGAGCAGATGCTGTATGCTGGGACCTGTTGCCATCCATTCCTTTGTAATCAATTTAATTTTGCTTTCGATAGCTGAGTCAGAGCATTGTTAGTTGAGATAATAGTAGAGAATGAAAATGAGTTCATAGTCTCAATGTGGAGGCGATGAATGTTGTGCTTCCCTCACGACAGGTACAAGGTCGTCAGATGCGCCTGCTGGGGTGTGTGTGGGCCTGGGTCAGGAGCAGGGGCTGCGTCAGCAGAAGCGGATTAGGGCTCGTGACAGCAGCAGGGTGCAGAACATTAGCAGGGAGTACCTGAGGGAGAAAAGAGGGGGTGTGTGGGTCGTCAGAATGTGGTGCGTGGGGCAGGAAGAGGAGCTGGTGTCTGCTTGAAGACTGGGGGCGTGATCAGTGTCTCCTCCATCCTGTGTGAGTGCTAATCTCCGGGAGTCACCATTGTAGGGGTATCGAGATAATAATGTTGTCTAGCACTCAGGATGGAAGGAAACTCTAATGTGGCTTTCTTGTATAATATACAAGTTATATGATAGACAGTCTGGTGCTGGAGGTGCCGTGTGGTGAGGGGCTGGTCAGTAGAGACGTTCGGTGAGTAGCGTGTTGAAGGAGGTAGATGTGCAGGAGCTTCGTTAGAGAAGATGTTGCCTGTTGCTGGCCTCCTGGTTGAATGAATGCTGGACAGCTAGGAGCTTGCTGGGAGGAGGTGTTGCGTGTTCAGGAAGATGGGCCAGAATGAGAGTTGGTTGGTGAGGAAGCTCAGAGAAGGACAGCTGGTGGGTCGCCATGCTCACTGGCGGGAGCGAGGACCGCCAGGCAGGCAAGGAGAAGCGAAGGCAGCCAGGCAGCGGCGGAGGAGGAGGTGTTGCTTGTTCAAGAAGAATGGTCAGAATGAATCTCAATGGAGAGACAGAGCTTATATACCCAGCAGCAGCCGCCAGTCCTCTATGAATCATGTTGGGAAAACCCGAGAAGTCGCCGGTGACTAGTTCCGTTGCTAAGATACGGTAACATCTGGTTGGTTGCTAGGGAGGCGGTAGCAGGTGGTGGCAGCTACGCAGTTTGTAGGGGAGACGTCCACTACACTACTTTCCTGAAAAGTAGATATTTCCCGTTTTCTATGACAAAAACTTTCCGTTTCCGTTAAAAATTTCCGTTTTCTGTCAGAAT